CATGCATGTCTTAGTGGATCCACAAGAACAGAAGGGAAGCCAAGCACCTGCACTTGGGTATTAAGTCTGGTGATTTTCAGCCATAGAGGTGTTCCCCTGGAAAAATTATACAATGCTTTAGTGTGACTCCAGTGACATGGTTATCTACCCAGTCTGCTCAAAACCTTTACCTTCATCTTCCCATTACAATAAAGAAAATCAGAAAATTATCTCTTCAAATGGTTAACTTTTAGCTTTCTTTGGTAGCATAAAGATTTTTATTTTTTTGGCGGCAGTGGGGTTTGAACTTAGGTATCTCATGCTTGTTAGTCAGGCACTGTTACTGCTTGAGCTTCTCTGCCAGCCCTTCAGCTTTCTTTGGGGATGAAGGGCTACCCTAGTGATATTGGGCTGTCAGAGGGGGACAAAGAAGGCACACTTTTGGTCCTAGGCAAGCTTTCTTAGTTGGATCTTTGAATTCTTTTGTGACCTCACTGGGTGATTTAATTCATTTAAAAAGTATGGAGACAGGTATGGTACACGTAACTGTAATCCCAGCTACTTGGGAGGGAGGTAGAGATTGGGAGGATCACATTTTGGGGCCGGCTGAGCAAAAAGTTAGCAAGACCTCCATCCCTCATCTCAATAAAGTAAACTGGGTATGGTGGAACATGTCTACAGTCTCAGCTACATGGGAGTTGTAGGTAGGAGGATGGTGGGTCAAGGTCAGCCTAGGGAAAAAACCACGAGATCCTATGTGAAAAATAAAGCCAAAGAACTAGGGGTATGGTTCAAGTGGTAGAGCACCTGCCTAGCCAGCATGGGGTCCTGAGTTTAAACCCCAGTACCAAAAAAAAAAAAAAAAGTACAAAACAAAAACTAAACTGTGGGATATTCACTATATGCAGAAGACTTCATGTCATGTGTGTGCGTGTGTGTGTGTGTATGTGTGTTAACTAACATAAGGAAACAAACACTGTAACCTACACTAATTTTAGAACTAGAATATATTACCAGTACTATTAAAGCTATTCATGAGAATCTGAGTCCATGCTCATGGATAAGAATGTCTTATCCATTCGGGATAAGGTATCCCTTCATCCTGAATTTATTAATCCCTTGCTTTTTCGACTGCTGTTTAATTGCACATGTATGTATTTCTGAGGAATTGTATTGCTATACATTGACCTTTATCAAAACGGTGTATATATATTTGTTAATGTATTTTAACTGTATGAAGATGTTTTATTGTGGTATTTTCATCATGCATATATTATACTTTGATAGAATTCACCGCGTTTCTCTTTCCTATCCCCGATCTCTCCCCATTTTTTTTTTTTGCAGTTTTTAGTGTGTTTCATTGTGCTGTTCACACATAGATACAGTATGCTTTGATCATCTTTACCCCATCACCTTTTCTTTTCCCTTTCCCCCAACATAATTTCATTCTTCTTTATGACTGAATAATATCACATATATCATATTTTCTTCATCCTTTCATTAGTTAGTGAACACCTGGGCTAATTCCATAACTTGGGTATTGTGAATAGTGCTGCAGTAAACATGGGTGTGCAGGTGTCTGTCTCTGTTGTATCCTTAATTACATTCCTTTGGATATATGTCCAGGAGTGGTATAGCAGGGTCATACGGTGGCCTATTTTCTGTTTTCTGAGGAACATCTATCTAGTTTCCATAGTGGCTGTACTGGTTTACATTCCCACTAACAATACATAAAGTTCCCTTTCCCACATCCTTACATCATTTGTTATTATTTGTTTTCATGATAATAACCATTCTGACTGGGATGAGATGGAATCTCAATGTAGTTTTTTTAAATTGTTGTGTGGGGGGTACATTGTGGCATTTACAAAAGTTCTTACAATATATCAAATATATCATAGCTGAGTTCACCCCCTCCTCCATTCTCCTTATCCCCCCTCCCCCCATTCCAGGAATAGTTTCAGCAGGTCTCATTTTTCCATTTACATGTATATGTATATGGTATTTGCACTCTATTCACCCTCTCACATGCTTTCCCCACATCCTCCCTGCCACACACTGGTACCAACCACCCAGACCACCACCCTCCTGTTCTTCAGTTTTGTAAAAGAAAAGAAAATGACATGTTTGTTAAGATAGCTGTACAAGGAATTTCCTTTTGACATTTCCATGTATATATGTTCAATGTAGTTTGATTTGCATCTCTCTGTGCCTAAGGATGTTGACTATTTTACACATATTCATTAGACATTTGTACTTCTTTTGAGATCCATCTCTTCAGTTCATTTGCCATTTGTTAATTAGACTATTTGTTCTCTTTGTGTTTAGTTTTTGACCTCTTTATATATTCTAGTTATTAATCCCTTGTCAGATGACTAGCTGGCAAAGATTTTCTCTCATTCTGTAGGCTGGCTCTCCACTCTAATACTTGTTCGCTTTGATGCTTTTTAATTTGCTATAACCCATTTGTAAGTCCTTGCTCTTATTTCCTGGGCTGTTTATGTCCTATTAAGAAATTCCTATGCCTCTGTCTTCTTCTAGCGACTTCCCTATGTTTTCATCTAGTAGTTTTAGAGTTTCAGGCCTTAAATTAAGGTTTTTTATCCATATATGAATGATTTTTGTATAGTGTAAGAAGCAGGGATCTCGTTTCAGAATTCTACATGTGAATATTCAACTTTTCCAGCACCATTTGTTGAAGAGGCTGTCATTTCTCCAATGTATGTCTTTGGCATCTTTGTCAAAGATCTGATGGCTATAGCTGTGTGGTTTCATTTCTGGGTCTTTGTTCTCTCGGTTTTTGTGTCTATTTTTGTGCCAGTACTGTTTTTATTACTATAGTACTATGGCACTGTATTATAATTTGAAGTTGAGTATTGTGATACCTCCAACTTTGCTGTTTTTGCTCATGATTTCTTTGGCTGTCCAAGGTCTTCTGTGTTAATTAAGATTGTTTTTTCTGTTTCTGTGAAGAACATCATTGAGTTTTGATAATGATCACATTGGATCTGTAGATTGCTTTTGGTATTACAACCATTTTCACAATATTAATTCTGCTGATCCATGAGCATGGGACTTCTTTCCATTTTCTATCGTCTTTTTCTTTCTTCAGTGTTTTATAGTTTTCATTGTTTATTATTTCAAGTTTATTCTTAGGTATTTAATTTTTTGAGGTTATTGTAAAGGTGATTGTTTCTCTGATTTATTTCTTACGCTGTTATTGGCGTATAGAGAAGCTACTGATTTTTGTATGTTGATTTTGTATTCTGCTACTTCACTGGACATGTTTGTCAGATCTAAGAGTTTTTTGGTAGAATTTTTAGGGTCTTTAAAGCATAAGATCATATCAGGAACAAATAGGGATAATTTGAGTTCTTCCTTTCCTGTTTGTATTCCTTTTATTTTCTTTCTCTTGCCTTCTTGCTCTGGCTAACAATCCAAGTACTGTCTTGATTGAGAGTGGGGAGAGTGGGCACTCTTGTCTTATTCCTGATTTTAGGGGGCGTGCTTTCAGTTTTTCCCTATTCAGTACAAAATTGGTATAGGTTTGTTGTGTATAGCCTTTATTATATTGAGGTACATTCCTTCTAGTCCTTGTTCAGGGCTTTTATCATGAAGGAATATTGAATTTTTTTTCATCTATTGAAATGACATTTGACTTTTGTCCTTGGTTCTATTTATATGTTGTATTATTTAAAACAGTATATTTGATTTAATTTGTGACTTTTTTTTCTCTCCAAATTGTATCCTTAAGAGTTCAACATATTATGGGATTAAATATTCCTTATGTGAATTTTTTTGGATTTTAGAATATTTGCATGTATATAGACATCTATATATCTATTTATCTTTATATATTGAGATAGAGTTGGGGTGGAACCTACATCTAAATAGGAAATTCATTCATTTTCATATATATCCCATACATATAGCCTGAAAATAATTCCAAATTATATTTTTGGTGCCTCCACATTGTGACCGTGACTTGTCATGAGATCAGGTGTGAAATTTGCTACTTGTTGTATTATTTTGACACTCAAAAAGTGTCAGATTTTGGAGTATTTCAGATTTCTAGTTTCTAAATTAGAAATGCCTAGCCTATAGCATTAGTTTATTCATTTTTTGTTGCTGTGTAATATTCCACTGTATGCATTTTTATCTGTTCTCCTATCCCCAGTTTTTGAACAGTGCTGCTCGGAGTATTCTGTATGTCTCTTAATGTACAAGATCAAGAAGTTTTCTTTTATACCTAGGGACGGATTTGCTTAGTCATTGGGTAGTTTACATATTGAGAAACAAATTAGCTTTATTAATTTAAACATGCTAAAATGCTTGGACAGACAATGAGCACATTCGTGGTTTATTTAATAGTTGCTGTGGAAGGGCGTTGTGTGGGTAGTCTTCTATTCCCAAAACAGTTGTAGAAGAATAGACTTAAATTATAAGCCCCTATGAAGTAATTTTAAATCTGTGTCAAACTTTGTATCTGTAAAGTTTGAGAGCTCTTACAACCATTGCCATCTTCAATTATAATGTATTTGTCTCCTGTTTTTCAAGTCTATGATAATCATTAATTGCCTGGGATGTTTCTGTCATATTTCTGTTTTGGAATGGAAGGGTTAGGCTATGAAACCTGCGAGAAAGTAATGATACCAGTTCCTCAAATCATCCTTGAAAATCACTTTCATTTCTTTAGGGACATATATAGATGATTATTCAGATGTTCTTACAAGCTTTCAAATGTAAGATATGTGACTCTTTGTGATATCAAAAACTTTGTTCTGTTTTAGCACTGATAATAATAGTTTTATCTGAAACAGTGAGCATTCACCAGGTATGTGTATATAATATCTCTCTATATGTATACAAATGTATATTTAAAAATACATAGTTTGCCTTGCTTGGAGATTTGTATTAGTAATAGCACTATACTATTGTAACAGTAAGCTGTTGTACTAGTATATTATTGTATAAGTAATCGTCCAGTTTGCATTTCATTTTCTCTTTTTTCTTCCTTAAAGTTTCAGACTCCATGACTCAATCTGTAGTCCAGCATCTGAGGTGGATAATGCAGAAAGATCTTTTGGGGCAAGATGTCTTTCTAATTGGACCTCCTGGGCCTCTCCGACGCTCTATTGCTATGCAGTACTTGGTGAGCAATCAGGTCTTGTCAACTCCTGATGGCTATAACCTTGATAAACTAAATAATAAAATAAATGAAAGTTAAGAGTTCATAAAGTGTCAGGATTAGCCACTAGTTGACATAAATATTAACATCAAAGGCTGATTTATTTATTTATTTTAAATTGTTTTATTATTCATATGTGCATACAATGCTTGGGTTATTTCTACCCCCTGCCCCCACCCCCTCCCTTACCACCCGCTCTGCCCCTTCCCTCTCTCCCCGACCCTCTCAATATCCAGCAGAAACTATTTTGCCCTTATCTCTAATTTTGTTGAAGAGAGAGTATAAGCAATAATAGGAAGGAACAAGGGTTTTTGCTAGTTGAGATAAGGATAGCTATACAGGGAGCTGACTCGCATTGATTTCCTGTGCATATGTGTTACCTTCTAGGTTAATTCTTTTTGATCTAACCTTTTCTGTAGTTCCTGGTCCCCTTCTCCTATTGGCCTCAGTTGCTTTAAAGTATCTGCTTTACTTTCTCTGCGTTGAGGGCAACAAATGCTAGCTAAGTTTTTAGGTGTCTTACCTATCCTCACCCCTCCCTTGTGTGCTCTCGCTTTTATCATGTGCTCAAAGTCCAATCCCTTGTTGTGTTTGCCCTTGATCTAATGTCCGCATATGAGGGAGAACATACTATTTTTGGTCTTTTGGGCCAGGTTAACCTCACTCAGAATGATGTTCTCCAATTCCATCCATTTACCAGCGAATGATAACATTTCGTTCTTCATGGCTGCATAAAATTTCATTGTGTATAGATACCACATTTTCTTGCTCCATTCGTCAGTAGTGGGGCATCTTGGCTGTTTCCATAACTTGGCTATTGTGAATAGTGCTGCAATAAACATGGGTGTGCAGGTGCCTCTGGAGTAACCTGTGTCACAGTCTTCAAAGGCTGATTTTTTAATAAAGTATTTGGTACAAGTTATTCGGGAGGCAGATGCAGATTTACTTTTCATAGCTGTAGCAGATTTTTGCTGTAACTAGAAAGACCTCCACTTTTAGTAGAAAAGAAATATAAATTCAGGCAGTGAGTTGTAAGTAGTGGGTCAAATCAGAACCTCTGAAATTTCAAAACTTAGTTTCATATTACTTAGTGACTATTCCCTGATCTTATGTTCACATTTTAAAAAATCAAGCAATTCCTTTGGCTTTTGGAAGTTATACAGTCTTTAGAGGGCCTTTCTTATCTATTATGTAAGAAATACATTAAATAGATGAGAAAGCAAGTTAACAGAGATTAAATAACTCATCAGTAAGTGATGTAGCTAGATCCCATATTGTTTCCCATTTCTGACATGTTCTCTTAAATAGTAGTAGTTCTGTAAGAATTGTTGTTAAGTGAATGAAATGTCTTAACCCAAATAAGAACATTTACAAGACTTTTCTACTACTTTGCAAGTATCAATAGGTCCTGACTGAAGGAAGAATACTATCAGATGAGGTTGTGTTATGAAGATTCTTTTTAGGATGAAAAGAAAACTTTGTTTAAAGCTTTCTTGTGTGATTTGGTATTAAAATATAAATTGCTTGTATTTGATTTCTGTCAAAATAAGCTTTTTTTTTTGGTTGTGCTGGGGCTTGAACTCAGGGCCTCAAGCTTTCTAAGTGGGTGCTGTACCACTTGCACCACTCCACTGACCCTTTTTTGTGTTGGGTATTTTCAGGATAGGGTCTTGCAAACTGTTTGCCTGGGCTGGCTTTGAACCAGGATCCTCCTGATCTCTGCCTTCCAAGTAATTAGGATTACAGGTGTGAGCCACCGATTTGTGACAAAATAAGTATATTGGAACTCCAAAAAGTATGCAGGCAAGAATGATAAAAATGCAATGGACAAATCAGAAACCTGACTTTCACTAACCTAATACTTTTCATATTTTTCATTTATCCCTAGAATCAGTTTGTGAGGCATAATAATGCCTTATAGCACTATTCTCACTTAGTTAATACATAGGCAAAAGTGTTTTGTGTAAAAATGTGGAATCAGCCACTTAGAATCCTAGATCTGTCTGGAGGGCAAACCCTAGTCCCACCAAATGCACAGACACAGACACACACACACACACCACCACCACCACCACCACCAAAAATCCTAGGTCTATAACCTTAATTTTCTGATGTGCACTGTCTGCCTTGCTGATTTTAAAGACCATAATGTTACACTGAGACAGTGTTTCTTTCAAGGCTTGAAGCTTGTCATTTCAGCACTCAGGAAGCTGAGGAAGGAGGACTGGGGCCAGCATGGACTGCACAGTGAGACTCTGGCTCAACCTTCTGGGAGGGGAAAATCTGGGGGCAAGCCTGTTGAACCAAATTGAAACTGAATAGAAACAATTTGGTTTTTGCCTTTATTTGATGTTTAGTTCATGTAAGAGAGGTCTGTAGATTGTTCAAAACAACTCAGCAGCCACTGCCACCTTCTCCTGGGGCTGTGCATGAGCTTGCTCGTTCCTTGTCCAGAATAGCACCAGAGATGGGGTGTGTATCATGGAAGGTGAAGAGTCCAAGACTAAGGATAATGACAAAATGGCCCTCAGTGTGGCCCTTGAAGGTTTAACTGTGGCACACTTTAACAAGAATAGGCATCCATAGCTTTGTCTGCCCTTGTGAATGAGGGGGTTTTCAGTGAGGGAGATCACATTCAGCCAAAGAAGCAGATGAAAGTACTGGTGATGTTTCAGAAGCAGGAGTGAGGTATCTGATAAAAATAGAAACTGCTACTTTACTTCAAAATTGGCTCTCACAGAAAATTCATTTGTATTTAGGAAAACATTGTTCGATAGTACCACATCTGTACCTCTATTTAGAACTTTTCCCTCCTTTTCATATATGCTTAAAGTTATGGCAACATGGGAATAAGCACATTTTAAAATAACCTAATGACAATAAACCAAATTTAAAAAATCAATATAACATACAGAACGGAGGGGAAAAAAATCCCCTTGTGTAGCAGTGTCCCCTTTCACCATTAATGGCATGCTTTCTCAACTTTTTCCTGGATGCTCTCCAGTAAGTTCATTTGTTTTTTCTGTCTAGTAAAACTTATTATATGTCTTATTTGATTGGAGAATGTCATTGTTCTTAATTCAATATTGGATAATGTTAAAACCTAGCTATTAGATGTAAGGTATTGTGACTTTAAGAATGGATAAATTGTTTTGAAAGAAATGGATTCTGGATGGTTTCCCCTTCAAATCACACTTCTTGTGTAATAATTTTTTTTCTTCTTTCCCTCCTCATTCTTCTCCCCTTTCCTACTCCTTCTTTCCTTCTTGTCCTTTTCTCTTTCTATTGCCATCAGCTGTGCATGTGTGTCTCTCTTCTTTTGGCCTACTGTTGGCATTTACCTTATGTTTACACTTGGTAAAGTAGCTAACATTGAATATATTTGATAAACATTGGTCAATGGAATAAATTAATTTAAATCACCCTTTTAAAAAAAGATGAATATTGCTTACAGAAATTGTTGTGCTTTGTAGGAAAAAAAAGTATGGATATTTTCCAATTATTTGTGCTATTTGAGACAAATTCTACACTAGAAATTCAGGTTTGGAAGGCCTAATTTTGATCATTATTACTTCAGTAGCAGGATTGAGAGCAGTAAAAGTAGAGCTTTACAGAGATACATATGTACCTCTGCGATATGTATTTTGACTAATATTCAATTTATTGCATTTTTCTCAAAAGTTTTTACCTGAAATTACATTTAAATTACATTTGAACTGGTCTTCTCCAGAGCAGTGGCATTGTTAAATAACTTGCTGTAAATCATATGCTAGTAGTTTGATTTCAGTTTTGGAATAACTTCATTCTGTGCTCTACAGGAGTTGACAAAACGGGAGGTTGAATACATAGCCCTGTCAAGGGACACAACTGAAACTGATCTCAAACAGCGGCGAGAGATCCGTGCAGGCACAGCGTTTTACATTGACCAGGTAAGTTCTTATCCCATGTCATTCTGTGACTGTACTCTAGAGCTATACAGAGTTGACTTTTAAAGTAGAAAGAGAGTAGCTCATATATTTATCATGTAACATTGATAAATAGGTGTACTGGGTTCTGCCTGTCATTTTGATTAGTGTTTATTAATTTACAAACTACTGGGTTTTGTTATGACATTTTCATTCATGGATATAATGTACTTTGAATATATTTGCAACCCTCCTCACCCACCATTACCCTCTCTTGTCACTTATTCTCTTTCCCTCTAGTCCCCTTCTTCTTTCCAAATAGTCTCCCTTCTACTTTAATGTCTTTTTAAGAAATCTAAATATTACATATAAGAGTAAATACTAAATACTACATATAAATATTGCATGTATTTGTCTTTTTGACAATACATGTAATATTTGTCTTTTTGAGCCTAGCTCATTTCACTTAATAAATCTTCATTCCATCCATTTTTCTGCAAACAACATATCTTGTTCTTTTTTAAGGCTGAATAAAACTCCATTGTGTTTATATACCATATTTTCCTTATCCATTCATCTGTTGAAGGTAGGCTGATTCCATGGCTTGGCTATTGTGAGTAGTTCAGTGATAGACATGGATGTGCAGCTATCTGTATTGTATGCTGACTTAGATTCTTTTGGGTATATGCCCAGGAGTGGTATAGCTGGATCATATGGTAATTTTTCATTTTTGAGAAACCTACATAGTGATTTCCATAGTGGCTATGCTAATTTATATCCCCACCAACAGTATGTGATGGTTCCCCTTTCCCTGTAATTCTCCCAGCAGTTGTTTATTTTCTTAATGACAGCCATTCTGACTTACATTTCTTGATGGTTAAGGATGTTGAACATTTTTTCATACATTTATTAGACATTTGTATGTCTTCCTTTGAGAACTGTGTGTTCTATTCATTAACCCATTTATTGATTGGATTATTTGTTCTTTTGGTGTTTAAATTTTTGAGTTCTTCATATATTCTGGATATAAATTTCCTTTTAGATGAATAGCTGGTAAAGATTTTCTCCCATTCTGTAGGCTTTCTCTTTACTATGGTAATTGTGTAACTGTTTCCTTGGCTATGCAGAAGCTTTTTAATCTTTAGTTAATATTTTTTGGTGATACGGGATTTGAACTCAGGGCCTTGTGTTTGCTAGGCAATCACTCTACTACATGAGGCATGCTCCCAGCCCTTTTTGCTTTAATTATTTTTCAGATACAATCTTTTTAAAAAAATTTTTAAATTCATTTATTCACATGTACATATATTATTTGAGCCATTCCTCCCCTCAGATAAGTCTTACTTTTTTTTTGCCCAGGCTGTTCCTGGACCATAGTTCTCCTACCTATGCATGCACCATCACACCTGACTTACTGGATGAGATGGGGCCTTGCTAACTTTTTATCAGGGCTGGACTTGATCCTTGATCATTCTGATCTCTGCCTCCCAAGTACCTGGGATATTAACATGTATAAACCACCACAGCTGGCTTCACAAGCTTTTTAATTTGAAATGGTCCCATTATTGCTCTTATTTCCAGAGCAATTGGAATCCTATTTAGAAAGTTGTTACCTATGCTGTATCTTCCAGGGTTTCCCTATGTTTTCCCCTAGTAGTTTCAGAGTGCTGGCTCTTACATTAAGGTCTCTGATCCATTTTGAGTTGATTTTTGTACAAGGTGAGACATAGGGATCCAGTTTTCGTCTCATTGTGGAAATCCAATTTTCTCGGTACAATTTGTTGAAGAAGCTCTTTTGCCAAACGCATGTTTTGACATCTTTGTCGAGAATCTGATGGCTGTATTTATGTGGGTTCATTTCTTGGTACTCTATTCTTTTCCATTGGTCTGTGTCTATTTTTGTGCAAGTACAATGCTGTGTTTGTTACTATGGCTCTAGGGTAAAATGTGAAGTTAGGTATTGTGATACCTCCAGCATTGGTGTTTTTGCTCATGATTGCTTTGGCTATTTTGGGTTGTTTCTGCTTCTGTATGAATTTTAGGATTTTTTTCCTATTTCTGTGAAGAATATCATTAGAATTTTGATATGGATTGCATAATATGGGCATTTTCACAATATTAATTGTGTCCCATTCATGAACATGGGACTTCTTCCATCATCTAGTTGTCTTGTTCAGTTTCTTCACTGTTTTATAGTTTTCATTGTAGGTCTGTTAACTATTTGGTTAGGTTTATTCCTAGTTTTCTTTTAAGGCTATGGGAATGAGATTATTTTTCTGATTTCTTTCTCAACATGGTCATTATTGGGATATAGAAAAGCTACTGATTTTTGTATGTTGATTTTTGTATCCTGCTATTTTATTGAAAGTATTTAACAAATCTGAGTTTTTTGATGAATTTTAGGGTCTTTTAAGTGTAGAATCATGTCTTCTGCAAATAGGAATAACTTTGAGTTCTTCTTTTCCTATTTCATTTTTTTTTATCTTGCCTTATCTCTCTGACTAAGAATTCAAGTGCCAGCCTGGGCAAAAAGGGCTGGAGGCATGGCTCAAGAGGTGGAGCACCTGCTTTGATTTCAAAAACAAGCAAGCACAAAACCCTGATTTCAAACCCCAGAACCACTAAAAAAAAAAGTCCAATCAACATGATGAGAGGGTATGATATTTTTAATGTGTTGTCAAATTTAGTTTGCAAGTATTTTATTGAGGATTTTTATGTCTGTGTTTATCAGGGAAATTGATCTTTAATTTTCTCTTTTTGTTATGTTCTTATTCAGTTTTTTATCAGGGTCTTACTGGCTTCGTAGAATGAGTTTTGTATTCTTTCTATTTTATGGAATAGTTTGAAGAGCATTGTTATTAGTTTTTCTGTAAAAGTGTGGTAGAATTCAGCAGTTATTCAGCCTGGTCCCTGAACTTTGCTTTGTTGGATATTCTGTGTTACAGCTTCAATCTTATTCATTATACATTTGCTTAGTTTGTTTAGATCTTCTTGGTTTAATTTTGGTAGGTCATCTGTTTTCAGAAATTTCTCAGTGTTTCTCCTAAGTTTTCAAAATATTCCCTAATGGTCCTCTTGATTTCAGTGGTATCTGTTATAATGTTCCCATTTTTACCTTTAGTTTTATTAATTTTTGTCTTGTCCTTTTCTTTTGGTTAGTTTGGCTAAGGGTTTGTCATCTTGTTTATGTTTTTGAATAACCACCTCTTTGTTTCATTGATTCTTTCCATTTCATTAATTTCTGCCCTAATCTTCATTATCTTTTTCTGTGTAATGACTTTGAGTTTGACTTGCTCTCTTGCTGAGAGTTTGAGGTGTGTCATTAGGTTATTTATTCTGGGTCTCTATGGTTTTTAACATAGGCATTCATAGCCATGAATTTCCCTCTGCACTGCCTTTGCTATTCTCCAGAGCTTCTGGTAAGTTTTGTTTTCATTTGACTTTAAGCCATTGCTTTGCTCAGTGACCCACTGACCATTCAGAGGTGTGCTATTCAGTCTCCATGTCTTTGTATAGCTTCTGTATTTTCTCTTGCTATTGATTTCTAATTTTATTCCATTATGATCAGATAAAATTATTTTATCTTCCCTTCCCTTCCCTTCCCAGGCCCACTGGCTATAAAGCTCATTGGGCTTGAAGTGAGAAGTAGGAAAGAATCAAACATTATTAGCTCCGTAAACCAGCAAACCTCTAAGATAAAGAAAGCAGAAGTTAGTACATACCTCTCAATAATAACTCTAAATGTAAATTGTCTTAATTCTCTGATTAAAAGATGAAAGACTGGCTGAGTAGATTAAAAAACAAGAACTGATTGTTTGCTGTGTACAAGAAGTTCACCTCACTGTCAAAGACACACAGACTGAAAATGAAAGATAGAAAATAATAATTCAAGGAAACAGTCTGAACTCAAGCAGAAATAGCTATAATCATATCAGACAAAGTAGACACCAAGCCAAAATACTACATAGTGATAAATGTAACATTCTAAAACAAAACAAAGCAAAACAAAACAAAAACCTAGTGGGAGGTTTTTTGGAGAATGAGATATTCACATAGTTTCATGGTTTACTTAAATTACAAAAGAAAAAAATGTACTTAAAATGGGGAGATTTAGCAGTCACCACCTCACATGACAGTGGCCAAATTTAGCCTCTTCTACTGGGAAAACATTAGTTCATTTTACCTACAATTAAAAAGTAATACCTTGTAGATGAAGCCCACAAGTACATTTTAAATGAATCTTTTGTTTGAGAACTGTTTGTGCTCATGTATATTACCTATAAATGCCAACTGGTAACAGCTATGACTAGTAACTTTCCACCTGATTTTCCAGTCTTTTAAGTGGATATTAATGTGTTTGTTATTATAAAAGCAGCCTAAAACTTTGGCTTTGCAGAAATTGAATTCTTTTAGGTAATTAAATTTACTGATTAGCTGAAGATTTATTTTTTGAAGAATAAAAGTAAATTATTTAGAGAAAACTGTTCCTGAAATATAGTTCTCTTGCCATTCTAAAAAGTATATTTTCAGGTCACATACATATTAGTTGATACAATATATAAAATATTTTAAGTGCCAATAAATATAGGTAATAGTTTTTGTTTTTATGTTTTCCTGATGAATTCTACTCACGATGAACATCAGCTATTACCTGACATACACAGATACCTCCAGAGTCTGTGATTGAGGTTATAGCAATGTTGCTCCTTTCTCTGAATTGCTTCAAACTTTTTTTTGAGGTTTTTATCCGATTTTCATGGTTTTTTCTTATTATTTTCTGGTAGTTATTGTTTTCTTACATAATCCTGTCCTATTAATTCTTTGCTTAAAGGTATCCAGAGACTTCTCTTCATATCCACAATAGAATTCAAACCCTGTAATACAGCTTACAATGTCCTATAGTAGCATGTTGCTTCATGTCCCTTCACTCTTTCTTTTGCCTTTAGGCTTCAGCTACAGTGGCCTTCCTTTGTACATGTATTTCTTCTAATACTGTTTATTCCTGCTTCCTCATAATTCTGGTT